TTGTGAATAATAGATAGCTTCCATGTGAGAAACTTCTGATATGGATCTGCTGTGCCATGAGTGAATGAGTCATGTATCCACTACAAAAAGTAAGAAAGCTCCTTAATATTGACTTACCAATCCAGTTTTGTCTAATAATTATTGAAACAAACACTTGCGGGATAGTAAAGAAGTCCACAAGACTCAGTGGATCACACCAGAACAATAATTTGTCATTCGCTGCAAGAAACTAAGCAAAAAACTTATTACACCTCATAAAAAGCAAAAATGGAAGCCCATGTTAGATAGTACCTAGAAAAAGAGCTGAACGTTGTCTACTTACTCTTAAAAGAAAATGTAAGATGAAAAATGTATTGAGGCCAATTTCAAACAACCACAATATTTGATCATTCAGGTCCAAGCAGTGCTCTACAGGACTGTAAAACAAAATATGACATTATCTTGACTGGACTGCCTGTGGTTAAATTCCACAGGTAGCCCAAATTATCAGGAATCAAAAGAAAGTATGTATACTGGTCAGGGCAAGCAAATTAGTCATTTAATAATACTCACTAAGACGCTTCAACTGCATAAAGAACGACRTAGGAAATACTAAATAAGAAGGAGATTACAACCTGGAGAGAAATTGAAAATGTTCTCATTAAATATTCACTACCTAATGGTGTAGTGGTGATGGAATATTTATTACCTAATGGGCATAGAGTGGAGCCACCAAATCCATGAAATAGATGCAGGGGCGTAGCCAGGATTTGGCCTTGGGAGGGGAGGGGGGACCCATTTTCAGAATATCGGTAAATTGAATGAACTTATAACTACTTAGGTGTTTAGGGTACTACAGCGTAAGGATGAGGGATGGCAGAACTAACCCTTGCCTTGGTTTTTGAATAGAGCGTTTTCACTCACGTGAGAAGGCAGCCATAAACAATAGAAATTTTCTGCACAGTATTTGCATAAAAATAGAGTTCAATTCCCGGAGGATAGAAAATGTATTGTTTTGGTACCCCATAATGGCCACTGTGACGTCACTTGAAAACCCTCTATAACATCTTATTTTTGTCCCTTCCAATCTAAAATTAATTAAACCTTATTGATTCATGATGGTCTGTTTGCAATACTGAGATGAGGAGGGGGGGTCAAAAAATTTTCTTATACAGAATTGGGGGAGGGGGGGGGGGTTGTGAATTTTTCCAAGGTTTTTTTCAATTTTTCCTCCAGCCCCCCTGAGGCATAATTAATGAACAGTCCCTTATTCATTTATGAAGCAGCCTGATAATGAGAGAAGATATCTAGAGTATAGAAGTATGTAAGACATGGTCTCACTAAGAAATTCTTGGACATGACAGGTGTTTCAAAGCTTTTTAATTACAAGGAAACAACAAGAGGGCTTGAATAACAGGGAAAATGAATAACAACTATTTGCTTAATAGAGAGAAGAAACTGGAAATTTACAAAACACAAATTTTAAAAATTTGTTCATAAAATGTCCAGTTTTAGAAGCATAATTTCTAACTAACATAGTGTATAGCATTGAGGTTTATAAAAATAATGAATTATTAATTATTACCTAAAGCTCAGTTTTTTATTGGATACCTAAGGATAAGAGTTAGACAGCTAAGTGCAAACATCATAAAAGCTCTTCAAAAAAATCTGATTCAATTCATGTCATGTTTCAAATGAATTGAAAGCCTATTACATTATAAATGTTCTATATAAGCATATAGTACACCAGTTTGGTTAGTTAATAATTTATTTGTCAAAAACTCGGTCAATTTTGAAATTAGTGAGAATTTGCAATCTGAACATATTATTCTAGATAGAGTATTATAATGTATATTGGTAATCAATTTCTACTTTAACTCTATAAAATATATAGACTGATATATAATGTAATATATTTTGGAAAAAGCAGCATAAAATACTAGTATGAGTCATTTGGCATTAAAAACAGAGTGGTGAATTTTCGTGTGGTAGCCATAGCAATACTACTTTGACTATTTTCATTTCTAGATCCTGTTTCAGATCCAAGCTAATTTTTGATATCTTCCAAACTACAAAATGGTAAAAACATATTTGCTGGGTGCATAAAAGCGATGCAGACTCATAAAAAAAACCAGGTTGAACAACTTGACATGAAACGTAACAAATTCGACTCACTAACGCTTTAAAAATGTTCCCATTTAAAGACCTAAAATGGGTTGAACAATAAAATGGTTGCTAAAACGATACGAACAGATAACAGAAAATACGACCATGGTAAACGCTTGCAAGAACAGAAACCTTTTTTTGTCTGGTTAGAATGCGGTCTTCAGATTTATTATGTTAAAGAGGTGAACTGGCGGAAGTTCTCTAATTATATAAAGGGGTTAGAAGCGATACAACAAACCGCGGGTTTCTTTTTCTCAATAGTCACAATTCTAGTTAAATAAACAAAACGGGAAATCTGTAAAGACTCTTTAGAAATAATAGAACAAAAATTATAAAATATACTTACGAAACACTGTCCTTTCAATGTTTGTGCAGTGAGGAGACTTCCCGCTTTTTCCCTCATACGAATGTAAAGACTATCTTCCTCTTCGTGTGTATATTTATTCTCGGCTTCCTCATTTCTTTTCTTACCAGCGAGCTTGTCTGATGGATTAAGTTTTCTCTTTTTTGAATTGCATAGACGTATAATAACTCTTGTCAAATAAATAACAATAAGTCCTCCTAGAAAAAGGGAAAAGCTGGTAATAACGAAGTACCACCATTTTCTGTCTTCTTTAGGCGGCAGGCAGGTTTTATCGCACGACATTGTACTGCTTACGTTGCAGTCCTTCACTGTCATCTCGTAACACCGTACTAAACACCACAGCCGATGAACCAAAAAATATGTATGTTAGCTTTCATTCATGACGTTTCCTACTTTAGGCTTTTAGCTTCAAACCTTCTCAATATATATTAGCAAAAATAAATAAGTCTATCAACCGATATGATAATATCGATTCAGCTGATAATGTATGCTCAGGGTATTGAGAATTTACTTTCGATTTTCGCGATTCATGCTTAAAAACTACTCTGCTATTTCATAATATAATTCTAAGACGCAAATCATTCTAAATATAAATACTTTATCATTATTCATAAAATATCTTACATAATGGACACATTTTTTGTACCAGATAAGTGTTTGGGTGTTATTAGAATATTTATAAGCCGATGTAATTCTCCTAATTTGAATCCTTGGTATACATTACTCGTTGTCTTGACAACTGGTTGTAAACCGACATGCAAAGCCTCATGTGGGTTTCCCAAAGAAAACAAACTCAGCACTCTTAATATTTTACCGCAAGTTTGAAAGAACTTATTCAAGACAGGTGCAAAAAATGCTGGTATCGAGATATCTTTATCTTTGCAGCTTTTAAGAATTACTTAAATATGATACCTTTAATACTTGAGAAGTGCTGCAAACATTCGCAACAAAGATAAGACAAAAAGGCTTTTAGGATGATAGAGCAATTATTGTTTTCGAGCACAAAAGTTGTATTTGATTGTGTGCGAACACCCTTTGGTCAAGAGTAGATGAAACCAAAGATTATTTAAAATCGCATTTGCCAATAAGTTTTTGACTTAAAAAATACGTTGCTTCATGCAGATTTTTTTTTTTTTTTTTTTTTGAAATAAACTTTTTTGCTTTAAAGAAATCAATTAAAAGGAAAAAAATAATATGCCCATTGCTTGGACTCGAACGCATTTACTTGTTATGAAAAATCATTAGTGTGATTCTTAAAAGGTCTAAGTTTCAAATACAATCACAAGTGCAGTAGCTTGAAATTTAAAAAAAGGGGGGAAAAAAGACAATGAGATGGCAGATATGATAGTTTTTAAACTTCTGTCCTATAATAAGTCTGGGGCCTAGCTAGAATAGCTGATATTCTGGAAGATTAGCCAGATAATAGGTAGGAAGCAAAATAGGGTAAAATTAGGTAGGGGGTAAATCAATAAGCAGGTCCACTTTGCTGAACGAAGTAAAAAAAAGAAAATACTAATAAGTGATTTTACTTGCCCGTGAAAGAATAGTCAACATAATACATAGTAGTAGACACTAATTGTATTGTTTTCTTTTGTTTTACATTGACTATTCTAAAACACATCTTTGTTTATCACAGGCCAAATATATTTACCCTATTGAAGGAAGCTAAGTACTGTATGGTGTAATGACCAATTAAAACTGCAGCAAAGGATTTGTAGAGTGCAAACAATATAACCGTGAAACTTTAGTAATACTAAATAGCACAATTTCATGCAAATTCCATTGTTTTCTATTGTTTAATTAGCACTATTTTGTACTGCTTAGTAATTAGTGTTTCACGGATTAATTGTTTGCACTCTATGGAACTGAAATTTTTTATATAATAAAAATTTGGAAGCACAGAAGAAAGAGACTCCAAGAATGTGGGAAGGGGGGCTAATGTAGTGAGGTATCCATTACGGTGGCATGGGGGCGGCAGAGCATAACCATTCATATTATTCATAAGCAATTTAGGACTAATACACCAATAGACCTCCTTGACTAGGGCAAAATGCTTTCCCCTTTAAGACTACCTCATTTTCTAGAGTACCATTCTTTATTTAATGGTTGCACTCAGTTACACATGCATATGGATAAAATTCAAACAAAGAATCTTATTCTAGGCTGCGTTCATGTGTTGTTTGCTTAGGGGGATCTTATTTTTTTGAATGACTTTAAGGGGGGTTGTTAAGAATTATTCTGGATATTTCAAATTTTCACCTGCACCCCCCCCCCCCCCCCCCTACTCGCCATACATTATGAATGCAGCCTTAACGAAATGACACATGGTCTGAAATAAGAAAGCATTACGTCTAAGCCGAGGTCTATTCCAAGGAGTTCCAACAATAGGACACAAAGACAGCCTCCAGTGGGCACACTCCAATTTTCACCCGACAAGCAAACATTAGTTTTTTGCTTTAAATGTTGGGTACTGACGTAAATACAAAGAAAGGAATACTATCAGAAACCAGAGTGAGCTAATTTCTAGCAAAAGGATTTGTTTACCTTTCACCCCAAATTGCCACCCTCTCATACCTGCCCACATTACCACAAGTTTCTCTAGTATAGGTACTGTATATTTTCTCCTTCCACAAAAGCATAAAAGTGAATTGTGGGGAATGTTATGTAACATTGCCCTCTGGGTAGCAAGTCTCAGCGAACAACAATTCCCCTTTGTATGTAATAGAGTGAAGCCACTAAACCTGTGAAATAGATATTAGACTAATACACAATATCATTTTAGACTTGAATATAATCTCTTGTTGTGATTGGTTGAGGGTCCAACAATTCTGAAACAATAGTCACTGCTCAAGAAATGATTGAGGTTTCTCTAACTTTGCCAGATTGAAACATTTTATTCTGAATTTCGTCTTTTCTCTGATATTCAAGTCTAAGATTATACTAAAACGACTATTCCCCTCTGGCTTAGCAATTATGGTAAATATTTACCTCTTTGCTTGGTAAATATTCTACTGATAATCACTTCTTCAGTGAATTAGTCAAATTCATTAACTTTAAATCCATTGTTTACTTTTGTGTCTTTTACACGTTGACTAACATTTTCCATTTCAAGGCTTAAATGCCTTCACTCTTGCTAGGTTCCCCCTTCTTGTCAAGTCAAATTATTGTAATACGAAGTAGTGAGGAAGAATAAGCCTGAAGCGAGATGACGTTTTACCCCCAACTCTATACCATAATAGTTTTTAAAATTCTTTCATATTAAAATTTTTGATTCCTTAGAGAATACAGGAACAAGTCATAATTAAAGAAAAGCAATGTGAAAAGGATTATGGTCTAGAGATGGGGTAAAACATCATCTTGCTTCAGGCTTGAGGGTAGCCTAGAAACAGCTGGTGGAGAGATGCAGCATGTTTTAAGTTGTACAGATATTGGTCCAAGGTCCCAAACTGTGTGATGGAGAAGTACCACCAATGGCCTATGCTTGGCAAGGGGCAAAGGCCTAAGTAGTGATATACTAGAGTTGATTTATTACGAGTGGAAAACAATACTGTAAAATCAAAGCTGTACAATAACAGAGTGAAGTCACTTAAATTGTATAATACTTTGATAATTTTCACAATGGTTTAAGACGAAATGCTGTCATTATAATGTATACAGTATACGTATAGTAGTACCAGAAGTGAATGACTAAAGTTGCAGAAACTAAGTCAAACTGTTCTCAAGTACAGTTAATGGTTTAGGGCCAAACTATCAGACTGCAAAGTAGAGTTGTAAGACCTGAAGTCTCTGTCCTAACTAAAAATATCATGTAGAACCTCTACCAGATATTTTTTAATCAAATTTTATTTACACAAAGAAAAAATTCCAGTAATGGAAAACAAAACTATCTACAGCCATAAATTATGACTACAGAAACAATACTAGGATTAAAATAAACTAACAATGCAGAAAAACTAATAACTATTACTATGATAATGAATATGCACTACATAAATACAAATAAAATTGACTTGAATAATGGTCTGAGTATATCAGAATGAGTTTACTATTAAGTATGCTTAAAAATATTAGAGTTGGTTTAGAGAGTACTGTACAATATGAATACTTATGGTCTAAAAATAAAAACAATCATCAAAATCATGTAGGCTTGTTGGCTCCCTTCTTGCCAATTAAACTCTTGTGGATATGTGGGATGACACCTATGAAAAAGAAAAAACTTTAAATAAATCTTTTCTTTAAACATTAAGGGAAATTTTCACAAGATACATTATATTTTGTCAAGTTAATGACAGAGGTGCCAAGATTGATATCCACACATTTCGGAAGTTAAAAAGATACCACATATTATACCCTGGATTTTAAGACGATTTTGTTGGAATAACAAATCACTAACAATTAACAAATCACTTACCACCACCAGCAATTGTGGCCTTGATTAAAGAGTCTAATTCTTCATCACCACGAATGGCAAGTTGAAGATGGCGAGGAGTGATACGCTTGACTTTCAAGTCTTTGGAAGCATTTCCAGCCAACTCTAAAACCTTCATCAGAAATATATAATTTATTAACCATACTATAATCAAAAGGCAACTTCTTTTTATAATAAACTGTTTCTATGACTCAGTTTTTTCTGACTTTAATGTTTGAAGTGATGTATGGCCTCACTTGATTATCTACACATTGAAGTTTTAGGTACATCTCATTTACTAATTATTGTTGCATAAAAAATGTTCTAAGAAACTCCTCACAAACTTAAAATTACACTGTCCAATTAAGAATTGTCTACATTATAACCAAAACAGCCACATCATCAATGCATTATCATATCACACCTCTTTAAGACTCGAAAGTCCCTAAACTCGCATTAATAAAAACGATATGTCCAACTAATTTGCAAGTATAATTATTTCTAGAGACGCCACGAAATCTTGATCTTTTATTTGACTAAACAACTAAAAAGCTTTGGAGGAAATCTAAATTTAAAATGATGTACGACACCAAAAATACACAAGTTGTGGTCTTATCAATTGAATTATATCGAAATATTTTCAAGTAAACACATTTTCAACGATCAATGAACGACTTAATGGAGTTGTTCGGTCCATTCAAATATGGCGGGAAATACAACAAGCAAAAGTCAATTTACAAAGCTAACGACARGTACTATAAAAAAAACCCGGGAAAATGGTAGTTTCCGATTCACATGCACAAATCAAGTGTAAAGAGGTATATATAATAAGTATATATTTAGTTTTAAGGTAAAAACATTTCTGTGTTGGGGTTTTAGAGATAAGAATAAAATAAGATTCAAAACATTTGAACAACGGGTTGTAATGGCGCGCAATCTAAACCGTTTACAACTAGCACGATGGCTTGTATCGTATTCAAGGAGATTTGGCTACAAAGTCATCTTAAATTGCAAAAGCTGAACACTAATAACTAAACTCACCTCAGCAGTTAGGTATTCGAGAATAGCAGCACTGTATACGGCTGCAGTGGCTCCTACTCTACCATGACTAGTAGTTCGGTTCTTCAAATGTCGGTGAATACGACCTACAGGAAACTGCAGAGAAATAAGAATAATAAGAAAAGACACTTGTAAGCCACTCGTACAAGAATCTTTCTAGCATGAAGGTAAGCATTCACAAACCTGTAATCCAGCACGGGCTGAACGGGAAACGGCCTTGGCCTTTGCCTTGGAATCTTTACCAGCTTTGCCTCCCGCCTAAAAAACAAACAGGAAAGAATCTCAAAGTTCTGAACCAAAATACACCCGAAATGGATAATTTCCTCTTAAATCTTCAGTTTACTTTACGAAGCATATCATCTAGATAAAATGATAGAGAATGATTTTCAATTTATTTGGATGGAAGTGGATTGATTTTGCTGATGACTCACCATCTTTATCTTGTTTCTCTAGCTACTCCAACAAATGCCAAACTGATTTCTTCGCAGTCCGCCAAAAATCATCGCTCTTATTTTGAACATCAACTAACCAATCAGAAAGCGACATTTTCAAATCTTAACCAATCACATTAGAATTATTTTCCCGCCTAAACCAACAGTCCTTATATGGCTTTGAATAAATTATGTGCCCGAACAGGACCATGGTAGGTTGTCCACAGGTACCCCACCATTGTGTTCGTAACAACAGACCAGATATATTTTCATTTTCTACTGCCCTTTATTTTAGTTTCATCCAGATTAACTGACCAATATTCTTTTATGTATTTATAACATTTATTTCAAGTTCACATTTCCACATAATAGAGTGCAAACAGTATATCCATGAAATATTAACTTACTTACTTAACTTAACTTACACAATTTTATGCTAATTTTATTGTTTTCTTTTGTTTAACTAGCACTGTTTGTAATTAGTGTTTTACGGATATATAGTTTGCACTCTATTGACATTTTTGGCCTCTGGACTGATAATTTAGAAGGATTTAAAAAAGTTATGAAGTAAATACACAAAATCCATAGATTAGGGTCTAGGGTAAGCATTAGGAATTGGGAAATTTGATTGAAATAATACGTTTTTATCTTAATAGAGGATTGTTAACTTTATTTCGATGAATATTATTGCATGTAAAATATTGAAGTGGGTGCAATAGAAACATGATTTTCAACTTCCATGATTTGGCTGCCATCTTTATGCCTGCCCTTCAATAGGAAATAGGACATCAAGATGGTAGACACACACACATTTCAACTAATTAAAAGTATAATTAATTGTTCGTATTTCCATACCTAAACCTTATTTTAGCTACAACTTTGGTTAAGATATATAGATTAAGTTGCCCTTTTGGTCTGTGAAGATTTTATTGTACTTAAGTCTGGAAATTTTTTCAATGATGTAGGTGAAAGCCAATTATTTTCCCCCACAATATGGCCTATCGAGCCCTCTGTTAATGATAAAGTCCAGTGACAGAAAAAGGTATGTTTTTTAATATACTGATGGCCTCAGATAAAGTTATTTTAATTATCCTGTTAATAAATAAAACAATTTTAGTCTACAAATTATATTTACGAACATCAATATTATTAAATTATTTTCCTTTGTTATATTTGACTATCCAAATCATTGAATATTAGATTGTTTCACAGATTACAGTGCAACATGCAAAAGTATGACCAGCAATTCTTCGTTTCCACGATACATCATCACAGCCATGTTGGTACTATTTGACAAAAGATTTCTCATTAGCATCCATTGTTAATGGTACCACAATGGCTGCCATGTTTTTGTCTCTTAACTCTCTTTTTTGGTGAATGCTTGCAACCCATCAATAATGAACAGTTTATTAGCATACTTTTATAAACAGGCTGTTGTATGTTTTACCAAAAAAATTCAATGGAAAGCTGGCAGGCTTTACCAAATAAAGTATTTAAAAGTTGTTTGGCAGCAAAAAGCCTATGCATGAAAGAATGCAAATACATTAAATGTGGTCATATTTTTATGCATCACACTGAATGAAATTTACTCTTAATACTGAGAAAACCACTCTTAATACAATCTTATTGGTGCTGAACCATGCAAAGTACAAGGAAATATGAATTACTGTACCTTGCAATTGTTTTACAAATCTAGAGTTATTGATGTTTATTTATAAATATATTCAAAGACATTGGAAATCTCTAGAAAAATACTTTCTTCTGGAATATTTTAACTTTGAAGGACCTTTTCAGTCTGTTCTGACATTTCAGTCTGTTCTAGATCTAACAGACAATATTTTATATACCAAAAACAACATTTTTCATTGCCATTGAACACCAAAAATTCTATTTTCTATCTTTCAAAACTATATACAATTAATTCTCATTATGTTATTCCTCATAAAATTATGTGAACAATACTTTCCCCAAGCTCCAAGAGGAACAACGATTGCTGTGACATTGTCTTCAGTTCCATACTGCAGTGCACATGATGTCAAGGTATTTGCAGCTTGTTCAGGATCTGAACACATCCGTACTAAGAACCCAAGCTCATTACTAGACATCACATGGGATACACCATCTGTGTGAAGTTCCAGAAAGGCATCACTTTTATGGTCAATCTTTAGTACTGTTGTTTCTGGTGTTGCTATGACACCAAAGGGCTTTACATCAAAATCTCCCAAAGATCTGGTCATTGCAAGTCTACCATTCACTCTTGGGATGTGGTTTGACTCCCAATCAACCCATCCATTGTGGGAGACTATACGTTCATGTTCATCTGCCCTTATAGGATGATGGTCATTAGTCAGGCAGATAGTGTTTCCATTACGACAGAGTAATGCTCTACTATCTCCAACACTTGCAACAGCAAGCTCTAATCCATCTCTTAACAAAGTAACAGTAGCTGTTGTTCCACCTCCTGCTATTGATGGATGATGTCCTATTATGAAATTAAATACATAATTAATATCTATCTATGGTATAATTCATAGTCTTATGCAAAGACTTTTTACAAATTACCAATTAGCAGGGCCAAAGCCACCTGTGCCTGGTTGTACAAAGGGTGGATAGTACTATCCAATTGACAATTCTTATCCAGTGGATAAGATGTTGTTTTCCAATAAAAATTTACAGTTGGTCCAGTCTTAACTGCACAACTTTTTATCGTCAGAACAATTTTTCCCCCTTGTAAAAAAAAATTACACAAGTATATAAAAAACAGTACCACCTTTTTGAAAACCTGGCTACAGTCTTAACTAGTAAAGGTTAGTGTCACCTTCCATTTCATGTTTTACAATAAATTACAAATTTCTCGCGCACTGATTGATTTTTTTTATATCATCAGTAAGAGGACAGACAGAGCTGATGTCAATGAGAACGAACTCTTTCCGTTGGTTGTTTTGATCGCTAAAGATGAGAAGTTTTTATCGTTTTTGTTATTGTAAAAAACAAACAGACATCAGTATGCGAATCCATCAGTATGCGAAGTAGTATGCGAATCCACGAGGGTACGCCTTGTGGACCCACACTACTTTGACAATGAGATGACACAATGTACTGTCAATAAGAGGACAGACACATMAAAAACTGATGTCTATTTGTTAATTTCAAGATCAGTATCCACATGGTATTTTTTGGGATTCAATTTTTAAGTTACATCATCCTATGATATACAAGTCTGATACAAATCAACTAAGTAATTAATACTTGATATACGTCGATTATCTAACAATATAGCACTTTACTTCAAGTCATCATATTATTGAGCTAAAGTTCCCTAAGGTAGGAAAGTATTCAAGGTTAAAACCTAATTAACGGTTGTTTGTCAACAGTGTTAATATTCATGACCTCGATCATGAAACGAGCTATTCCCGAGTTGGTTGATGTATAACTTCTTACATCTGTTTATTAAAAAAAGGCACGAAATTACACTGTAAATATTTTGTCGAATGAAAGTATATTAAAGCAAAGATTCTCGAATTACCTGCACATGGATACTACAGAATYTATAGAATCTGCAGTCAAGCATAGTAAGCTAAGCTTATCATTAACAGTCGAAAAATAATGTTCTTGAATACATTTTCGGCAAGATGTTCTTACCTTTTTCACTTATAAGGAATCTTATATGCTTTTCAAGTTCATGGTTACATTCCTCAAAGGCAGCAGCCAAGATCTCTTCTAAGTCTTTATTATTTTTATGCAAACGTTTGATAATCTTATGCAATCTATTGTGAACAAAGTCCACGGCCTCAGACCCGCCATGGCCGTCGAACACGGCAAAATAGTACAAGTCTGGATCGAGTTCAAGCAGTTTATAACGGTCTTCGTTCACTAGTTTTTTGCCCAAGTTCGAACTGGAACCCACAGACTCAACAGACACGTTGTGAAGAAAAGATTTCGCTTCTGCTTCATGCCAAGCTCCAAGATCATCGAAAGGATTTGAAACTGCGTCGTATCCGCCACTATCGCTCCATAGACGAAGAGTCGTTTGCCTTTCTTTGTTAGAAGAAGCAGTTGGACTTGAGATACATCGCTTTAAAACACCAGATTGAAAGGCTTCAGTGGTCTTAGTGCGACATAAAGTCCGTAAAGCACAAGAACGTATATTTTTTGAAGCAAGAACATGCAATTTTCCTTTACTCCACATCGTCCTCTGGTCTGAACTAAATCAATAGCAATGCTGTAAAAATAAAGTAAAATCCCGCCACAGTACGGCTTCTATGATTGGTTCGTAAGTAAGGAAGATAGAACGATTCATCTAATTGGTTAAGAAGGACATGAATCGTGCAGCCATACATGCCATTAAGGTAAAAGTGATTGGCTTACTATTATAAGTTTTCGTCAATAAGTTCTATTGGTCATTCCGCATGACCCAACCTACATCGGGCCTCCGTCCAACCCACAGGTAATAACTAGAAAACACGTCTGAATTACTGCGTGGTTTTGATAGTTCGCATAGTATCCATTAAAGAAAAAAAAATATCTAAATTTAGTTAAATTTGTGTTCGATTGCATAATTGTTTTAACAAAAAAATTAAGTAAAATTACTGTAGTTAATTTCCTTTACAGAGGGCATCTTTATTCGGATAAAGGAAGGGAAACGAAGGGAAAAGTATGGTATGGGGAATGGATGAAATGATAATTAGAGAATTTCCTTTATGAGCGCAAACAGACCTTTCCTGAATTCGCTTAACTGATCACAAAACAATGGTTTCAAGTCGAGCTTGGACTTGATGAATAAAAGAATCAAGTTCAGTCTAGACTTCAAACCATTGTTTTGTGGTCATCCAAGCGAATTCGGGAAAGGTTAGCACTGAAAGCATTAAGGCTGCGTTTATAATGTATGGCAGAGGGAGGGGGGGCAGGTGAAATTTTTAAATGACAAAAAAATTCTTAAGATCCCCCCTTGAAGTCCCCCAAAAAATAACTATCCCCCTGGGCAATCTCTTGTAGCTTCTTCTAAAAATTTTGCATCCCCCCCATTTCTCTGAAAAAATTTTTCAAACCCCCCTCCTTATTTTAGTGATAAAAATTTTTCCGATCCCCCTAAATTTCACCTGCCTCCCCCCCTCTGCCATACATTATGAACGCAGCATAAGTAACAAGCGTTACACATGTTTAACAGTGATACTTTATAAATTTATTTTCATCAAGTACATTCTACTTCTTTGATATACTAGACTAGTTTAATATTGATAATTTACATCATTAGTACCTGTAGTATCACAACACCTATGACGTACAATATGAACGACACACATACCACTCTTTTAAAGTGTATATCAAGGAATTTTTTTTTCTTTCAAAATAGTAAATAGTGTAGTAGTATGGTTGCAGTATTTTTGAATGTAAAGTTTTCTTTTAACACGATAAAACACGATCTGCGAGTTTATTAAACGGCTTAAAAAACTCCAGATGTATGTTCTCATACTGTACCGAATTCTTTACGAAATGAACCAAGTTTGATAGAGAAAATCCAAGTTAAAGTTTATGCAAATGAAGACGAATCTATATCAGATATAAAACCTCCTTCATGGTCATGATTTCTATTGTTTCCTTCATGAATTATTAATGCATTTTTTAAGGATATATAAACATTTGAAATATCAATATGCAAATGAGATGACGTAAATTCAAGACTAATTTATTATACAAAAATGCTGTTTTGGAAAGTGCTGCTTTTTTTCATTTGCAAAATCATTCTTATAACTGAAATATATGGCTTTGTACACTTTTAGGTTATTTCACTTCAGAACACTTGTTGTAAATTACACTGCAAAATGTAAGCCATTCTACATACAAAAATGCCGCCACCATACTACTACACTGTTCAAATATAAGTGATTTTAGAAATAAAACTTTTTCCTTGATATACACTTTAACTGCTACGTGCTGATCGAGACAACAGTCGCAACAGGGAAATAGGGCAATACAGACGAATTTTTTTGATTGGAAGTGTATTGCCGAATTTCCCCGTTGTGACTGTTGTCTCGATCAGCGCGTAGCAATAAAAAGAGTGGTAAGCGATTCCTAAAGATTGGTCAGCATACGAAAATACTCCATTTTACAGTTCCGTTCAGTAACCATGAATAATAACAGTTTGAAGTCGAGGTTGGAGTTTCTGCAAATAGCAAAGCCGTACTTTTTGAAATGYGCTGCAACTCCAACCTCAGCTTGGAACTATCATTATTCATGGTCACTGAAGTTAACTGTAAAATGGAGTATTACAGCTTGATTTTTTTAACCACAATGCTTTGTGCCTACAACAAAATTATTGTAACTGAAAAGTTTTCTTAGTTCCTACGAGTAATCCAGTACCACTTGAAAGCTGGATTTTCATTGCTCCCTAAGTAAAGTACCGCTTTCGTAAGGTTAGCTTTAGTGCTATTGTTTGGATGACCAATCTATTGTTTTTTAATCTAATCATGTAACTCATTCTGAGCGGTACAGGCTGGCTCATTCCTACTAACATTGTTCATAATACACTCTACGAAATTACTCAATTCTGATTGGACAAGAGGAGTACAATTTTTTGAGTGTATCATAAACAAAAAATTCGCACAATTCTAATCAAGTGTAGGAAAATAAGTGTTTTTTTTCTTTTACCAGTTTGAATATGCTGTCTTACAAAGCATCATGGGTAAATGTTAAGGCAACGCCTAAACACATAAATACTTTCTATGTGGAATGTACCTTGTTAGGTTTATGATGAAGTGACAACTGTCACGATTAAGTTTCACCTAGATACTAGGTACGTGAATAATGACAGAAGACACATCTTATAACTGATTCAAATGTATACACCATTATTAATAGTGGTGTTTAATAAGACTTCTTATTATTAAAATCTACTTTTTTAATTTCTTAACGATGTTTAAATAATTCTTGATCGAGCTTGAATCGTGAGCATTTCCAATGAACCTCCTAAATGAACAAGAACAGAAAAACAGTATTAATTAGCATTCATTCGAATTATTATGTTATATGCAATATACAGCTGTTTAAAAAAGGTTGAAGCGGTGAACGTGGGTCATTTCGAGATCCAAGAATGGCTGGTATTTCTCATTATTTTCGTCAAGGACACGGAGATTAGTTTAATATGACTGTTATATTGCTGGACAAAGTGCAGTATTATCTGTGCTCAAGTACGGCGGCAACAACGGTAGCAACAGCAAGGATAACCATAATTACAATTTTGTTTTAGTTAGCAACAAAGAGAAAAAGAAGAGCAGAAAAAACTATTGACTGCAGACAAAGCTTTAGTAAAATCTTACTTAAAAAGTTTGATTTGGTCCAATGTCTCCTCAAACTCTCTTGACTTGTGCACTGCTAGTGAAATAATCTGAGGAAAACAGTTTACATCACATCAATATATTGTACAGTACTACATTACTCCGGCATTGCAGAGTTAGCACTAACTATGCTTAGTGGAAGTATTTGGTGTCAAGATTATCGCTATCACTCTTTCTTGTCTAATGCTTATGAATCAAAGTTACCTCATCCGGAATGCCTGCAAGCCTTGCTGCATTAAACCCATAACTCTTTGGACAGTCTCCTTTGACAAACTTGTATAGAAATGTGATGGTTTCCTTGCTGGGATCTCCCTCCTCATCGTCATTCTCCACCATACAAGCCTATGACAAGACACGGTACTATCATTTAATAGTGATAAAGTAACATGAATCGAATGTCAAAAATGAGCGGTTGTTTTACCATATGTCCAAGGCGAACATTAGGATCACCAGCAAATTCTTCCACTAGGGAGTGGTAGTGAGTGGAGAATAGCGTTCTGCATCGAATATTACTAGAGAGCTCTCTCACCACAGCACATGCTATTGCTGTACCATCAAAAGTGGCTGTACCACGACCTGATAACAAAAGGAAAAACCATGAAAACAGAAATATGACAACTGGAATGATCACTTCTTATCGAGTCGTAGCTTACCGAGCTCATCGAGCAGAACAAGCGAGTTCCTTGTTGCGTGGCGTAAAATAGTTGACGTTTCACTCAGCTCTACAAAGAATGTGCTCTCGCCTGTGAAGAAGAGAGAAACGACCAATAACCATGTATATTGCATGCTGTGTTTATATAATATAATGTCTAGATAACACTTAATTTCAATCCCAAGGCTGGGAAGTAACTACTAAGGATGTTTAATGGGTGCCTGCCTAGGACCTCCCCTAAAATGTTCGATATATCACCTTCCATTGGCATGCTGCAAGGGTTGGAATAAAGCCACCCCATGCAGTATTGTTTGGATCATGACTGAAGCTGCTCTTACCTGCCATTATCCTGTCATGTGCACCCAATCTGGTAAATACACGATCTACTGGGGTTAGACGACATTTTTCTGCTGGTACATAACACCCCTGACAACACGTAAGACATGGGTTTAATTAGTTCAGTGTACATTAGTTATCCTTAGTAGTAACAATAGCAGTAGTTATTTACTTACTAATTGTGCCATGACTGTAATTAAACCAGCTTGTCTCATCAGTGTGGATTTACCACCCATATTCGGTCCAGTCACTAAGACACATGTGCTAAGGGCATTGTCAGTTGACACTGAACCACTCTCATCTTCATTCTTATCATTGAATATACAAAAAAGATGATTGATCAATAAATTGGAGGACAATAATGGAAGTAATAGTATAGTTTCTGCATTACTTACATCTACTATGCCTACAACAGTGTGGTTAGGGATGAAGTCTCCTCCACTGAACGTACGTGAAATACATGGATGTCTGCCTTCACGGATCTCGAGGAATGGCTGCAATTGAAAATAACAATCATCATCATGGTGATATCTATCATGTTGATAGCAGTTGTACCCACTCATAAGTTTCTGACAGACAATACCTGGACATCGCCGTCACATGATACTTCTGGAAGAACAACTTCAGGTCTGCACATTGGTCCATCACCATGGGAACTGGACAATAAGACAAATAAATAAGGTTGCTAATCAAGCAGACCAACCTGTTACCATGGAAACTGTGGTCATAAACCTTACCTGTATGTTGCCAGGGAGACAAGGGCGTCTAGTACAGCAAGACACTGAACTGCTTTATCCCACATGTCATAGCTAAAGGTAATAAATGTGTTGAGTGTAAATGCAAGTCTACACACTGGGAACAGTCACTGGTTAAATGAATGTGTTAGATCTAATATCAGCTATATCTACATACAAGTCTATGACACACTATATTTTAGCAAGGCATTTTTCCTAATACATTATTTCAATTAAACAAGAAGACTAGCATCAAGACTTGATACTTTTTTATTAAAGCATTATTTAAACCCCCACTTACTTACAACCTCTGCTTGATAAGTGAAGACAGACTTAAAAATTAAGATTGACCACTCACTGTTTGTCAAAGCTCTGAAAAATTGTTCTCATGGTATCTTTAAGTGCTACATCTCTACGATCTTCAGCATCCATTAGGTCAGCTAAATGTTCCTCAATCTCTGAAGTCCAGTATCTTCTGAAGCCTTTTCTCTGCGACTGTAACGTGTAATCATCTGGTGTGTTTTTACTCAAAGCTGAATCTGGAACTTCCAGCTGGTAACGATTCTTTGCTTTATTAGAATAAAAGACACAACTTAGTACTAGGTTAAATATAAAAGAAAATATTCAAAAACTAACATGTAAACCACCCCACTACCCAGTAACACTAACTGTTTTCATATTACCTGAACCAAAATAAACAACACTCTGAAAAAAAGAAATGAGAAAGTTTATCAAACTATAAGATGTCTATAGACTTCACACCTTCAACCAATACCACCACCATTAATCATCAATCTACTGATAACCTGTAATTACCTTAGTGACCAACACCCTACTGACACCATACCAACACCCTACTGACACCCTATCAACACCCTACTGATAATCCAACAACACCCTACTGTTAACCCAACAACACCCTGCTGAAACCCAACACCCTACTGATAACCCAACACCCTACTGATAACCCAACACCCTACTGATAACCCAACACCCTACTGATAA